GAGAAGGTCATACCTCTTTACTCATGCGGAACTATGACGTCACACAGAGGTGGTATCTCTATGTTGACCCTCTATAGTGAAACCTTCCTGTGAATTCATGCTTGTCCACCTATATATCTGGCAACAGTGATTAGAGATATCATTGTTCAGCTGATTTCGATTCATTTTCCCGGCAATTGTGGCTATTTTGTGCCATCAATTGCCGGACTTTGAGAGGTTCTGGCGCTGAGTTAAACATGGATATATGTAATTTAGTAATCTGTGAACGTTGAGGATGCCTTAACTTACGGCGAAACATTGTCAGAACGTCAGCCCACACTCGTGTGACGCTAGCCCACACTCGTGGGATGCCGGCCCACACTCGTGTGACGCTAGCCCACACTCGTGTGACGCTGGCCCACACTCGTTTTTGTCAGGCCATACTAGAGGTAACTGGGCCGTGCTTGGTATTGTATTTGCGTTGTGTATATCAGATATGGTCTCTATATTGTCAGAGTCACCGAGTTTTTATGTAATTACGTTTATAAAGTCAGTAAAATAGTTGGTTAACCCCTTGACGTCAGGCTGAGTGTGGGCTGGGGTAACTTTGGTCTTGGGGCGTGAGGGTGACGTAATTTTTGGATGGCATAGTCAGGTGAGGGTTAGGAATAACATATGCAAAAATCGTTACCGGTATGCTACGCCCACTGGACGTACTTGTGGTACTAAACTATACTAGACCCAAATAATGTTGCCCGCTTGATGTTTATTTTACTTTCTACAGTTCTATAGGAACTTTACTTTCTATTTGTGTGCCTCACTGAATGAACTGATGGCTCCACATCATCATCAGTACGTTGCCAAGGGATTAAAATCTGACAAATCATGGAGCTTTTGTACTTAGTAAAATTGTTGCCTTTTTCTGGCTTTATTCATGTCTTGATTTGGCTTTCTTTGATCGCTGGGGTCTGGCAACCCTGCTGGTTACACCAGACCAGGTCGGGGGATTTTTCAGGATGGGCTGTTGGTGAATTTACGACAAATCCAGGTGAGTTGAATTTCATACTTTTAAATATTTTTTACAAAATCCACTCAGCTGCTTTGACTGTCTGACTGTAGACCTACTGCAAAAAATGATGGAATCATTGTCATCAATCATCATTCAGTTCAGGGGGTCACCCTAAAACCAGGCACTTGTGATTCAGGCACTTTAATATATTCCATTTTTACTAGCTTATACGTCATTGAGGTTTCCAATTTATTTGATCTAGCGGTCAAAATTAAGGGTTGCAAGTCATTGGCGGGTTGCACATATTTTTAGAAAGTCGAAAACCGAACGGTTGATAGGGAGGGGGGTATTTGGAGTGGAAGTGGTGACTCCTCTACGGCCCAAGGGTCGGGGCCACGGCCCATTGAAATGGGCCTCGGCCCATCAATTTTTGTAAAGGGATAAAATAATAAAGACTAATAAATATGTAAATCCTACCCACTCCCCAAACTCATAATAGAACTAGGCCTATAATGTGAAAAATCTGAACAAAATTTTGTCCTAACCCTAACCTGGTACACATACTTCAGGTGTATCCTTTTCTGTAGCTTGGTATTTTGCTTTATTTTTATGTAAAGGCTTATTGTAAGAAAAAGGTTTGGTGGCATACTCGCATCCTGCGATTTTTTTTGGTTCGAATATAATTGAAAATTTTGGTAAGATAATTGAATTTTTCCTGATGGACCGCGGCCCATAGATTGATGGGCCATGTGCCCAAAGATGAGCCGTGGCCCCGGCCCATGGGGCCGTAGAAGAGTCACCACCCCTGTAGGTTATTTGAGTAGTTTTTGACATTTGAACCTATGTAAAATCTGAGTGAAATCGATTCTGCGTGAAATTATGGTTTCATTGTAACATTCTGACTAGATGTCATTCCTTGCATAACAGTTTGAGTCTTATTCAATGTATTCAAGTCACCTTAAAAATGCAATTTTTTTTTGGAAGTCAGTATACTCAATTTACCTCATTTTTCGAGGATAACTGAGTATAATGACATCTACCTGTCAAATCAAATCTAAGAAAGCCCTAGAACCAAATCAAAGACCTTCATGAGAAACTTGGGTAGCCTACATATAGTTTATTTTAAAAAATAGTAATTACAAAAACCTTGGAACATAATTATCTGACATCACTTTAAACTTGGCATGATAGATCACAATTATGGTTTCATGAACTTTTTACCACAAATAGGCTTTTAGTTTAAATACAAGTTCACTATGGACTAGAAATGGGTGGTTTGACTTGGCCAACAACTTCCTTGATAGAGATACTTTTTATGTTCCTATTTTGGGTTAAATCTAACACAAAATCTTTGAGCTCTTTCATACACTGGTATTATACAAAGTTCATTTTATATACATTGGTGAGGACAACCTGGCCAAGGAATTCCCTTTCCCCGTATTTCAACCAGCTAGTCAAGGTCTTGATTTCATTAATGTCAGAATATGCTACTTATAGTTAGTCCTCTGTTATAATCAGCTGTACTATGTGAGAATTCTGTTTCATATTCTGTCTCGTCGTCAACGAAGCCGAATCTAATTCTGACTCTGTTACTGCTTTTCTGAACTATTATTATGATCTTTCTCTCTGCTGTTTTTATTTTTTCTACCAATCATATCCGTTTTAAGTCTATCCTATCAGTATAATGGTGTCTCTAAAAGAAATAAAACAAGATCTAGCTTCTATTAAAGAATCTCAAAGTTTTCAATCAACAAAATATGATGAGATTATTGCCAAGCAAAAAATAACAGATGACAAACTTATGCTCTATGGCAAAAAAATAAGAGATCTAGAAGAGTTGGTCTATGACTTGGAGGACGAATTATACTATGCCACAGAAAAAATTGAGGAACAAGAGCGCCGATCTAGATTGGATAATCTAGAATTTCATGGCATCGCACCTAATGAAAATGAGGACACCGACAAATTGATAACAGAAATTGGAAAGATCATCCACGTGGACATCAAACCATCTGACATCTCTGTAACACATCGTTGTCCAACGCGAAATTCCAACATCCATAAACCGATTGTCGCAAAATTTACCAATCGCAAAATCAGAGCTAAAATTCTCAAAAATCGTCACTTGATCAAAACCGCTACCAATTCAACATCCATAAGGAACCTATCTAAAGCATTTGTTGTTGAGAATTTGACCGACAAAAACAAGAACTTATTTTACAAAGCGAAAATTCTCAAAAGACAATGTGGTTACGCCTTCCTATGGACATCAAATGGCAAAGTGCTGATAAAAAAGAACAAAGACACTAACACTTTATCCATAACTGAAGATGAAGATCTTGATAAAATAAGATGAGTCTATTTAATTTTTTACTGCCATATCCTAGTAAATTATTCTATCATGTTATTGGTTTAAATAACTTCAGTCCCCATTGGAATAGCCCATCTAATGACTTTGCCCCCCTCGCCTCAACCAACCTAATGTTATCTAATTCGAACCCATTAGCATTCCTCATCTATGAGTGATCCTTATCCTACCTGGGAATCAACCAATTTTCATCCCGAAATTCCTTCTATTGCAAGTCGATACCTTGAAATATCCAATATCAATAGAGTAACTTCAAGTTTTCTAGCAACAGACTTTATTATATTGCACCATAACATCAGATCTTTGGCAAAATATGCCGATAATCTAGTTGAGCTAATTTCAAATTTTTGTATTCCACCTCAAATTATTGCTCTAAGCGAGACTAGGATCATGAGTGAAACTGCTGTTGTCAATATTGATATCTCTGGTTACACTTCATTCATGCTCCCTCCTCTACTCGCGCAGGCGGTGTTGGTTTTTATATTAGGGACAATCTAAACTTTCATTTATGCACTGACTTCAGCCTTTGCCTCCCAAACTGTGAGGACTTGTGGATCGAACTCAAATATTTCCAACCAACCTCAAAAATTCAAAATCTTGTTGTCGGTGTAATATATAGACATCCAAAAAATAATCCATCATTCACCACAGCAATGTCTTGTTTATTTGAGAAGCTGGCGATGGCTAAAAAGCAATTTATTATATTAGGCGACTTCAATATAAATCTTTTTAATTCTTGTGACAATCCTACTACCAAGTATCTGGATATGCTAATGTCCAATTTCATATGTCCACTTATCACCAAACCAACCAGAGTGACCTCAACCTCCCACACATTAATTGACCATATCTACACTAATATCATAGATTCCCGCACTTCGTCATTTATTTTGCTCAGTGATCTCACCGACCACTTTCCCATAATGTGCACAATACCAGCAACTAATAGTAACGTTAAAACAAACACTCGCATGAAACGGGACATGACTAAATTTTGTGCTGACTCGTTCAGGCTAGAAGTTGAGTCAATGTGTAATAATTATACTAGTGTTATATTATCTGAAGTAAACTTCAATAGCTCATTTGATACTTTTCTTAGTCACTTCAAGTGGTTAATCAATAAGCATGCCCCATTAAGACCATTTTCGCGTAGAGAAAACAAATTTTATTCCAAACCTTGGATTACTAAAGGAATTCGTAATTCCATTAAACATAAGAACAAGATGTTCAAAAGTAAGTTCCTGAAGGGAAATTTATCCCAGCGTCTCCACTTTAAAAAATATAAAAAATTTTGACACATTTGCAGAGGAGATCAAAACAAATGTATTACCATAACATCCTAGAGAACAACAGAGGCGATGTTAAACGCACTTGGAAAACTATAAATGACATCATCAAAGTAAGGTCCAATGATGAAACCACTATCTCGGAACTGAAGCTTGAAAATGGTACCATAGTCTCAGACCCTGTCGCGATATCCGTTGAATTTAATAAATTTTTTTCATCCGTAGGAAAGAGACTTGCCGATAATGTCCCACACAGTACGAAATCTTTCAAAGCCTTTTTGGGTGCTCCTACACAGAATTCGTTTTTTCTGGAGCCATCAACACCTTAGAAGTTCACCAAGTAATAATGAACCTGAAAAAAGGCAAAGCAGTTGGGCATGATAATATTCCTTCTTTTTTCTTAAAATTAGTCGCAGACAGCATATCCCCAGCTTTGAGTCATTTCTTTAATCTATCATTTAGTTTAGGAATTTTTCCCTCCGCTCTGAAGATTGCTAGGGTAATACCCATCTTCAAAAGTGGCAACAAAAATAATCCTTCAAATTATAGGCCAATTTCAATTCTACCCTGTATCGGCATCGTCCTGGAAAAATTAGTCTATAAAAGAATGCTCAACTTCTGTAACAAATTCAATCTGATCGACAAATGCCAATTCGGATTTCAATCCAATCACTCGACTTCCCATGCCATCCTAGATCTTATTTCATTTATCTATGAAAAAATTGATAAAGGGGAGTCTGTCTGTTGTGCATTCCTGGATTTAAAGAAGGCCTTTGACACAGTTGATCATCAAATTCTTGTCCAAAAGTTGATACACTGTGGTTTTAGAGGTAACGCATGCAAACTATTATGTAATTACCTGAGTGGTCGATCACAGTTTGTTGAAGTAGGATGTCATAGGTCTCCGATGTTGCCCATCCACTGTGGAATTGTCCAAGGTTCGGTCATTGGACCATTGGCTTTCTTACTTTTCATAAATGATTTGTCGAACTGTTCGAATCTTTTAACAAAACTCTTCGCCGATGACGCTTGCTTGCTTGCCAGTGCCAAAGATTCAACCACGCTCCAAAATACTATGAACACTGAAATAGATAAAATAATTGAGTGGATGTTATGCAACAAACTCACTGTGAACGTAAAAAAATCTAAAGTCATGCTATTCAGTCCTAAATCAATTAAAAAACATTCCAACATGTTAATCAAAATCAGGGGGGTTGCTTTGGAAGTTGTTCAATCCTTTAAATATCTCGGGCTCTATATAGATAGTAACTTAAAATGGAACACTCATATTACCGAGATGCACAAGAAATTGTCAAGGTCTGTTGGGATTTTGGGAAAACTTAGGCATTATGTGCAGGATGCTACCCTGCGAACCATTTATTTTGCTCTTTTTCAATCCCACATCCAATATGCTATAACTGCATGGGGCTCTGCAACACAAACCAACATTCACAAATTGGAGGTCTTACAGAATAAAGCTGTTAGAACTCTCTCCAGAGCGTCTATTCGTACAAACTTAAACACCCTTTACCATAAAACCAGGGTGTTGAAACTATCCGACATTTATACTCTAGAGATTGCCAAAGTTATGCACCAATTTCAGAATAATTACTTGCCCACAGCGTTCGACAATTATTTTGTTTCGCTTACCTCTGTGCATGAACACAACACACGCTCTTCGACCAAATCCAATCTTTTTGTACCTCGCTTTTCGCTGAGCAAATCTCAAAATTCCCTGAAATACAAAGGCGTAATAATTTGGAATAACATTCCCCAAAGTTTACGTGACTCCACATATGCTACTTTCAAAATAAAATATAAAAAATTCATGCTTTCATCCTACCTGTCTTTCTCCAGCACATCTGTTTGATGTGCTTACTGACTTTCCCTCGGCACTGCCAGCAGAATACTTGACTAGGTCCACAACCTCCCAGAGTCGACAGTACCTGTAATAAGTGAATCTGAATGTTTCATGTAAATTTTAAGTTGCTTCTTTATTATCATCTACTTCCATAGTGCATGCTCTGCACTATATTATACTGTATGGCCATTTGTCATACAATGGTAATTCAATTTTGCTCATAGCCTAATCGTATAGTGTTAGCAGTATCTTTCAACAGTTCTACACTCATGATCCTTGATATTGGTCTCTCACCAAATACAATTTAATAACTATCTCGTATATATTTTTGTAAAAAGCTATCATATTTACCACTTTATTATTATTGTGCTTTGTTGCATTTTCGAAATTTGTATATATATAGCACTGTTGATACTCAGTGCTGCAGTGGTTATTTCATCCATCTGTTCATACACATATCGTGTTCATTCTATATTCTCAACGATTCCAAGCGGTATGCTTACTAATTTACAACGCTATTTATTGTTACCCCCATCTACTTTGTTGAGTTAACCTGTTTTTCACAGATTAGAATAATTTTTATCTGTAATGTATTAATGACGATTCGACTTACCCCAGCACTTGCAATCTTCTTGCACCCCAGCACTTGCAATCTTAATCTTATTCGAACTCTTGGCAAACATTTATAACTATGATTACGCCGTGTTATCGGCATAATATCCCTACCGGGATATATTTAAAATCTGTTAAATAACTATCAATTCCATAACGCTGCGATATCGGTTCGGTATCCTGTCATCGCACTGTACTGCATTCCTGCTGCCGTTCCCATAGTTACTCGCACATATGTGCTTGGAGTCGTTTTTGGTTTTGCTTTTCTGTGTCTCGAGCACAGAGATATATAAATATATAAATAAACAAACAATAAATATATTTCCAGTTCAGTGGTCTCGAGCGTCTCTTGGATTCAGGTCGTCTCGATTTTTCACTTCTTTATATTCTTTTATTTATTGTTTGACTTTTTTCATTGTTTTATGATTCATTTATTAGACTTTAGCTCAGGTGTCGCCGCTCGATAACCAATTTTGGTTTTCGCGACTCCTTTCACCTCGAATTATCCGTTTTTGCTTCCTTTTTACATTCCGTATGCATTTAGTGTATTTCATGTGTGGTGAAAAAATAAACTACTGATTACTGATAATGGTATATACTTTCAACTGACGTTATATAGTTTTCGCCTGAATTCTTTTTCTGGGACACCAGTTTTTTTTTCTATTATTACTACATGTTTTCGGAGATGACAGTGAGTGTGATTACGTCAACTAAAGCCTTCGTAAATGCACTAAGCTTACTGGTGGAGTAGGGCTCTGTGCTTGGCTGGTCCACAGCTTTCTTTTTTACTATTTTTTTAGTTACAAGCAAAAAAAATCTTTCCTAAAATCCTACAATTGCCCATTGTGGATTTACACTCATATTCATTAAAAATAGAAGCCTATATTGAAAGATGGACATGATAAAGGCTACAAAAAAGTGTTAGGGCTCAAAATAGTCACACAGAACCTCAAGTGCAGTTTTAAGTATTCTGTGGCGTCTGCAGCTGCCGCAAAACCATGGCGATATTTCCATACCATGGCCGCTACAGCCAAACCAATGACGAGCTGCCGTTACCGCGGCAGCAAACTGAAAACCAATGGCAGGTAAAATTTTGCTGCCATAACCACGGCAGGTGGGCCGTAAAGACAGGGCTGTCCCTTATGGTGACAAATATTGGGTAAGTTGGAACGTTTTTCCCATGGATACAGTTTGGGTGGATTTGGGGTTAGGGTTTAAGTAGATATAAATCCGCATGATCGATTAAAATCTGGTACATTAATTTGTGAATATACCACTCATTACTGAATACTGAATAGCGCTATAAAACCATGGCAAGAGCTGCCGCGGTTCGTTCGTGGCAGGAGCTGCCATGAAGTGGTAAGGACTGCGCCTCCAGAACCTCATAATCCTGTATTATAGCAGTGGGAGAGGCCATTTATGCATATACCCGATTTACCCCACGATTAATTTCCGACAGACTCAATTTACCTCGATTTTTTCAAACATCAATAAAACAAAAAGTCAATGGGTTACACAAAAATTCTCTGCTGGGGCAAAGAGAGTCTTTACTAAGGTACTAAAAGGCATCACAAAAAGTTTAATATATACTATCAGAAAAGTGTCACGTGAAAGTTTCCAAAACAATTTTTTTCACGGACAAAAAAAATTTCACATACAAACATCTAAAACAATTTTATCATTGGTAGGCAAGTGAGGTATACGCAATGAAATGGAAGCATAGAATATGAACTATTGTTGCTACAAAGTACAAACCATTCACTCAACATACAAAAAAGTTAGCGAGGTTTTTATACATTGTACTCAATTACCCCCATATGCTCAATATACAAATTGCAAATTGCTCAATTTGCAAACGACGATAAGTTAGATAAAAGCCGATGCAAATGATAAAAATCACTCTTTAATTTCATTAACATCTGTCGTCGATGTGATAGCATATTTATACCAATAATATGAAACTCTGATCTCCGCCGACCTAGGAGAATTAATAATTGCGCACAAGAACAAAAAGCAGAAATATAAAAACATACAGGGGACTAAAAATTATCGATTATGACGAAATTAACCAATAAAAATCGCTCTGTTGCTGATTTTCAATTTTACTATTGATTTCCAAACCGACCTCTGACGTTCTGGAATCATAATGTGTGTAAAAAATATTCATTGTTATTGGACTATTCGGTATTCGTTAGAAATATTCGAATTATTTGATTCGAAAAAATATTTGATTTTGCCCACCACTTTATTGGCCACTATAAAAGTTGTAAAAAATAATTTGTTTTACAATTCATAGCCATTAAGTTCCCCGGCCCCTGATGCAGAGATGCAACTTTGAATAATAAAAAAATTGTAGAATATTCAATCATATTTCATTTACGGTATGTTTATCACAATTCTGTTAATTTTTGCGGCTCATCTAGCAACTCGTCACGGCGCACCTTTTGGGAACTGCTGATACAGGGGAATAGTTTTGAAAAAGTATTGTAGTGC